AATATGCACTTAAACTAGTGATCAAGAGCTGGTGGGAGAGACACCTGCTCTGCATTTGTTATCTTTTTAATACCTTAGGGATACATCACTTAATAATTTAGTGCTAAACCATTTAGCATTTTAGCCCATCATCTCTTATATTACACATAGGATTTCAGTAATGTCTGATAAAATTATGTGTTAGCTGCCTTATGTGTGTGTAAAACTTAATAAGTCTTCTTCCCCCCCTCAAGTTTAATAACTGATTTCTTACATTTATGGATGTGAAATTTTATTGCTCATGGATATAGTTTGAACCTAAATCTTCATATCTTATAAATTGATTTTTAGTTTCCTTTTTGACCTTATGAATTTCAATCAGACATTGACCTCTTGTTGCTCATGAATCTGACTGATTTAATGCCATATAACAATAATACTGTAGAAAAGCATTATCATAAGAGCCCACAGGGTTTGCTGAAACCCATAACTAGATTTTGGAGGCCTCTAGCAATAATAATTCTTGACCCAAGACTATTCTCTAATGCCTTCATCCTTTACTGTTCTGGACTGGCCAATCCTTGTTTTAGTAGATTCAAGGAAAGTGGTAGAGACTCCCAGGAGGATATGAGCTAAAACTGTATGAAGAAGATAATGCTGAATATACTCCAGTTACTTGAACCTTATAAAAGACCAATTCTATCTGGGATTTGTCACATTTTGAAATGAGAAGGAAAGACTATTTAAAAGGAATCTTTTGTGACAAAAAGTAGTATTTACGTAGTGTTAAAGATTTTCAGAAAATAAAAACTTAATATTAATTGTCTTTACTGGAATGTATTGTTATTCTTCAGTCTATCATTATGGCTGCAGCCTGAATAGAGGACTTGAATGATTACTGCTTTGTTTGCTTGGCTGTGCTAATTTAATTTAATTGCTTATATGCTTTGGTTTACTGAATAACTGTGTGTTGATGTTCATTATTCCTTATTAAGAAAGAATCTTAAAGTGAAAACAAAAGTGTGAAGGACATGGGCCTGTGGCATTAATTTGTGAATGCTGCGTGTGACTGACTTTGGGCATGAAAATTTACTGTATGACTATATTTACTGTGCCTGTACATATGTATGTACATGGGAGTTTTATTTACTGATTGCTAGGAAGTAAGTAGGGAGACAACACCAAAAAATTTAGATAAAACTACTTCTGGTAAACAGGGCAGGGGGTTCAGAAACAACACATGAGCTATGAGCTGTGAAATACTCCTTCCAGATCCAGCGAAAACTATGCAGGTGTTTCAGCATGACAAGGGGCAAAGAGATCAAAAGGGATAAAATCTGTTAAAAACTCCTTCTGTTCTACAGAGATGGTCAGTTTATCAGAGATTTATTTATGAGGAGCAAACTGACACAGTCACTGTCTTGGAGTGCTAAAGGATAATAGGTCTTAAGTATCCAGCATTATATAAAACTTGGGTAAGAGAGGGAGGCCATTTACATTAATCCTTTTCAATTCTGCTTTGTTATATCCTTGTCTTTATCAGTAAAGTTGCCACAAAGAAAGGCAGAACTCACAGTCTAACATGAATGTCTGTATTGCTTATCTTTTTGATCATGGACTTGGATTCTGAATCCACATGACCTGAGAAAGCCTAAAACTGATCACTTTACTGAGATCTGCAAATCAAATCTCATGCCTTAGCTCCTGCAGGATATGTGCTGACCTAATCACATCTATATCCTTTTATGTTATATTACATGCAAACACATACGCGCAGAGGTGCTCCTGCATTACACCCAGCAACCATTATTTCATGTTAGAGCGCAAGAGAAATGGAAGATGGCCCTGTACTTCTCGTTAAGGATATCATGTCCTTGATGCTCTGTATTTAAAAATTAATTAAAAGTGAAGACCTCTTCATGGCAGTCCAAAAACACACTGGCACAGAGCCATGTCCATTCATCTTTCTCTAGAGAACTACTCTTTGCATACTGATGGCACTGGACATTATTGGCATATCTTGTCTGGTTCATATAACAACTATCAGTACAAGTTCCCAAGGCTTATAGTGCAGACATAAAGGTTAAAACTTTCATTTCCACAATGCAAGTTGCCACAGCTTTCTCCAGTCATCACTTTTCTTATACGATGGCGAGTGTAAGATGAGGGCTTGCATTAGTTTTGAAGAAAGAATGCCAAGCATTGTAAAGGACCAAAAGATAGACTAGATGTAATCCAGCAGTGAAATCAGATTGCACATGCTCTTTTTTGTAACAGCACAATACCAATTCCTTTTGCACTGGGTAGTAAGCTTTTAAAATGAGAAGTTCGTGTCTGGTGTATTAATGTTCAAAACTTTCCAATTTAAACTTATAATACGATAGGTGAGTAGTTCAAAATATAAATATATGAGCAGAGCTGAATGGTACAACTACTCTCTTTATGATACTAAAGAGTCAAAACAGTGCCAAGCCATTCTGCTCTCTTATAAAGAATTTAAATTATTTATTGACATGGAAAGTTAACAGTTTTCTGTGTTTACTCTAGCTTGTATTATATCTGATATGAATGAGGCTGTTTGGAGCTTATTTTTTTATCCAATTTTCTCAATGTTGGCAATAATTTTGCTGTTTCAATAACCGATCTTATTCACCTGCTGCTAAAAACACTTGTCACGTTGAATTACATACCCTGCACAGATATTGTCGCAATTAGCAATCACAAAACATCACAACAGAAGTGTACAAAGATTTAGAATCCAAATTTTTAACTGTATGTAATCATGTCCTAATTTGCTTAGGCACATGCGAATGAGTTCTGTTCATTTGTACACACAGTGTATTGATCTTCATGTGCAGATGTAGTAATTGCACATGTAAATTTGGAGCAAAGTGATATGAGCATAATCCAAAATTCTATGTCAGTCCTCATGGCCAGTTTCTGATTGACTGGCCAACTGTGATCCAGCTAGTCAGAAACACTGTGCCCACAGGAATTAAACCCACCTGAGTTCAGTGCATGTCTTTTCTCAGTTAGAAAAAGATTACTGATGATACTCATTTTGAAGATCCTAAATTCATGAATCATTTCCCTTCTCCAAACAAGCTGACTGCAAAGTAAGTGTCCTGGGTTCAGCTTTACCAGCTGGGCTTAAACCACAACAGTACAGATTCAACCCATTTTTGGGGTACGAATTTACTTCTCCTACCACAACTCCACTAGCATTTCCAGGTGTGATATGTCCCCCATTGCGTGGCAAGAAATCGTCTGTGACACCATGTAATTGTCCTCAGATTGTAGCCAGAACAACTTGAATTTAAACCAGAGTACAGGTAGATAGTTTACAGGGAGGCCTCCTGGACCCACTGGAGTGTGTAGCTTCTCTGTGGGTGTAGCTGCATGTGGGTCACACACCAGCAGCATCCAAGCATCCCACTTTGCTAGTGGGAAATGGAGAGCTGTGCAGATGGGAAACTGTGAGAAGCGCTGGTCTGAGTGAGGCAGGGCATACATAGGCTTGAGGAAATTGGTATGTTTGAACTGTGGTCCAAATTGTAAGTATATTTTTTCTCCTTAATATATACAGCACACAGAGAAATTACCTGCAGTGGCATACCCTTTTTTAAAGAAAATAAAAGAAAAAAATAATATGAACAGGGTAGAAAGACCAGAAACATTTATTGCTGCTGTTCCCATCCAGTGTCATGACAGAACAAAAACTGTCAGTGACTGGGGATCAACGGCTATTTCTTCTTTTTTGGTTCTCCAGCAACTAGAATCTATTTTGATTTCTTGGTGTCCTTTCTAGTTATGCTGTATTACTCATAACTGCAGCGCAGTGGTAGCTGCCAATACAAATTTAGTCTTTTCTGTTTATTCTGTACTGTCCTGTCAAAGCAGATAAGTCTGCTTTGCATTAGAGCTCAAAAATTTAATTGTGGGAAAATGATGAGTCACTCAAGCTAAGGTAAACCAATGTCTGTGTCAGGGGACGTTCTTTTGATGTACAAAGCAATGAAATGACATCAGGGCCATGAGCCAGAATCACCAAGTCTCACACAGAGGTGTCATTTACATTTCCCTGGGACAAAAAGGCTTTTTGAAACAGAAGGAAGATTGATTTGGGATCAAGCTGGGGAAAAAAAAAAAGGAATAAACCAGGAAAGGGATTCTTCCAAGCTTTATTAGCAATTCAAGCCACCTACTTGTGAACATCTAATGAAATTCTCTCAAGAGACTGCTCAGAGCATTTTCCTTTCTTATCCCTTAGAGGTTGGCCATGAGATGATGGAAGTGACCATCTGTAGGAACCAGAAATGCAACCAATTTGGGAGGAGCAGGCTCAGTCCAGTTTTGTCAGGGTTTGTCAGAATTACTCTACAACTGTCTCTGGAGGCTTTTTATTTCTCTTTTCAAGGATAAAGGTGTGGAAACCTATAGGGGATGTTGCATATTTCCTGGCATCATTCTCCATTGCAGAGCTGCATCTCTGAAATCCAGTTAATTTAAAAGAAGTTACACCAGCCTGAGTCCTGTGTGCAATGTACCTTAGGAATCAGAGAACGGGGCCTTCTGCATGTCTGGTGGTGCTGTTTGAAGGAGGGACAGCTTGGAAAACCCAGCAAAGCTGCCCTCTGCTGCTACCTAAGGCATCTCTCCCAGGTTGAATGTTGCCCTCATTGATCCTTCCCTGACTACTAGAACTGTGGCTGTGGAGATCTAGTTTCTTTTGAGGGCCTGTATCAGATTTGCATATCTGAGCTTCATTCACCTTCATCTGCATTCTGGTGTGCTGAAGCAGACCTTTTCAAGGACAAATGTAGCATGTAACACAGTGACTAAATTAAGTCTGCAGGATTTCCTTGTGATATGATAAATTTTCAACAGAAATTGAGTAGAAATGCATAAGGAAATAACATGAAGGACTGCTAAGACTGAAGGACTGAATTCAGAACTTTTTTCAGCATAATTTGAACAAGATATACTAAAGTCCAAAGTACACAAATGAGAAGCAATAAGAAGTATATAACTAGTAAACCAGCTCTCAATTAATTTATATTTTCTGCTACATCTTTATGGTGAAACTCGACTGTGTGTTAATGGTCCTCAGAAGATTCTAGACAACACTGATGCTCTACTTATTATTAAAGGTAAAACTCACCCTATTGAAGAGGACAAGCTTAAGATCTATGCACTGACTTAGTACCACTTATCCCAATTTTCACTTAACAAGGGCGTAAGTAGTGTATACGTCTGGATTGTCCTTCTGCACTAAAGTGAATTTTCTCCCTAGTAAATTAGATTGGTCTGATGTGTGCTTAAAAGGAAGAAAATCTTTGCTTTCATTAGGGGTTGTTCTCGGAAATTGCTGCTTGACCTGTAACTTAAAAATTTTCAGTTCCTCAAAACTGCTTTGACACTCATACATGGTATATTTACATGATTTACCACTTGATCAAACAGCCAAGTTGAAGTGATGGAGCCCATCAATAATGAAGGGGAATAAATTTTGAGGGAGATGCTTGTTCCTTTGCTATTCAAATCCTTCCTGTGGATGGATTTTTTAATATACATTATTTTGATGTTTGAATAAAATTGGTACAGAGTGGGGGTTGAGTAGCATCATAAGACCATAAGCATATCCCTCAGCAGAAAACACAGAATGGTGGAATGCAGTTATATATTTAACTTATATATAAGTGAGATAACATAAACAGGGCAATTTTGCAAGCCAAGAAGTCATGGCAAAGTTTAATTAAATGGAAGGTCTTGTGTGCACGAAGAACTTTGTATATTTTGCTGTGCTCAGTTTATTACTGATGACAGGTTAGACCCACTTGTGTGTGCATCTATCCTGTTGCATGCACAAGTCCTGCCGTTGTACAAATACACTGTCACCCACTCCCAGATGTAATTATACAGAGCCCTCTAGCTTTTGACTTTAAAATAGGCAGCTGGCTGTACACATACAAATTAGGGCATGCAGAACACCTTCCTGTGGCCTCAAATGCATGTTTTTATTTGCAGGAACACAGGCTCTGCAAGATATTCCAGTCACAGTTAATGAAGTCCTTAATGAACTGATGGGCCTGTTTCTTATCTCACTTATGCCAGATTTAAACCTATGTAACTCCATTAACTTGTTGAGTTGATCCCAATTTTACGTAAGTGTAAAAAAGATGAGAACCAGACGTTTTATGTTCTCATTATCTAAGAGAATACAAAGTATGAAGTTCTTAAAAACATTTTTTCTGTTTTCTATCAGTTACAAAGAGACTTAAGCACTCCTTCACCTTTGACCCTCCCCACTTTCCCTACGTACCAGTTTCTGCAGCTACTTACCCTGTTTTCCAACAGTTAGGCTGATCATGCAAGTTTTGATCTCATTTTGGTTTTGTAATTCCTGAAATAAGTCTGTAAACTTTATTCCTAGTGAGCACATTCCTCACATGAATCAAAACTATGCATTCCTCCTCCCTTCCCACAGAGCCCTCTTCTAACAGTTCAGCCTTCTCCATAACATTCCAAGATTTTCTCAGATGTAAAGAAATAATTACTAGTACAGAAGCCAGTCACAGAACATGAGTGTAACACTGTGGAACTGAAAGCAAAATCTTTTTCCTCCTTACAGGCTAACTTTGGTAATGTTTAATCTAGGCTTGCTGTTTTCAGCTGATTATGTTGAACAACTTCTGTCTGCAGTAGTTTACCTTCTATGTGAACTCTGAATTGAAAGATCAGTTTTACCCCAAGGAGACATACCCTGTGCACACAGGGAAAATTATTTCAGATGTTTTTTTTATTGTGTTTTGATATTGCTCTGATATGATTTACAATATAGTAACGTACTGTACACTTCTGTCTCCATAGCCAGGTTCAAATGCCAGTGTGAACCTGATCTTCAAGAAATTCAAGGCAGAGATTCTTGTGAGAAGCTCACATATTGGGTATTTGCCAGCTCACTCTAACCACATACATGACTGAATGACAGAATTGGCCAGCAATACAACAGGAGCCCTACTGAGACATCTGAAATCCTCAAAGCATGAATCTGAGCTGACCTACACCATGTTAGCACTGTAGAAATGCCTCTGACTTTGATGGAGTCGCTCATAATTTACAGCTATGTAAGATCAAATATATAGCCCAGAGTACAGAAATGTTAACATGGATAGTCTCAGTCAGAGAAGGGATGCTTATTCTAATGGTACCTCCTGTCAGTCAAGTCATAGACTAGATGTCACTTATGAGGACAATGGGTCACCCTTTTTCCTCTATTCTGAATGTGATTAAAAATATAAAAATGAGAGTTAGAATGGAAAAATGAACTATTAGGAAAATAAATAAGAGGACTGAAAAGAGAAATTAGAAAGGAGAGTGAAAGGCACGTGCCCTAAACAGCCCCAAACCAATTACCTTGGGCTTAGCAGAGGGTGAGGTGGTTGTCTGAGCAGCGTGAAATGAACCGCATTACTCAGCTGTGTTACAGTAGTCATTTCTTATTTCGTTCTCCCAAGGCTTATGCAAGACTTCTCCAGAAAGTGCCAAGTTTCTGCCAAGGGAGGCAGTGAGAGCTCCAGGATCCCTCCACAGCCAAAGCCAACGTGCGACAAGGGCAATCCCCTCCAGGAGTTCCATCTAGTGAGATCAGACCAAGTAAGTGAGAACAGAGCAATGGCCATCTAGTGAAGTCATGTCAGATATGACTAACTAAATGCACGGTTCAGACCACATCTTCCTGTGACTGAGCTGAAAGAAAAATGAATAAAATTCAGGAGGTGAAATGCTGATTATTTCTCCTTTGTGTAGTCCTGCAGTACGTCCAACCCTTTACATTACTTATAGCAGTGACCAAAGGTTAAAATGAAGGCTAATATCCCTTTTGTGCTAGCTCATGCATTTTTCTGGGGAAAAAGAGAAGCCAGGTCCACTGTTCATAAGGTAGAAGACCTCTCTGCACCTTATTTCAGGCCTAGCCTTAGATGTGCTGAAAGCTCACATCAGTTTAAAGATGCATGAATTCTGCTCTCTGTCATAACCTTATGATGCTAAAAAGGATGTGCATCTTCAAGTGACTGCTAACACGATGGGCTTCAATTCTGAATTCCACAGCGAGATGCCTCTGTTTAAGGACTGACTACTCGGAGATGCACTTGTACCACTTCAGTTGCTCCTGAAACCAGTGGGCACTTTCTGTAAGCACCCCTGAAATACTGCCCTGGGTCTCTCATTCTGGAATCTTTAAAATTGAAAATACCTGAAAGTTACAGGACACCTCAAGAAAGGTAGGCTGGAGATGACAGTACTTTTGAAAGCACAGCAATACCTAAGTATGACAAATACTATAGAAGTACTAATGCTGTTTGGCAATTTCCTGGAAGGTCTGTAGAGTGGAAATTCAGTTCATTAATTGATGCTGATACCTCCAGGAGTCATTTCAAATTGTTTTCCTGAAATAAGACTTGAACCCGAATGGCAGAGGTGAACCTGCTTTGCCAGCCTCCAACAAGAGATTTTATAGGTTCAGAAACAATATTTATATTCACAAATCCCAATCTCTCTTTTTTAAGCTTATTAAAATTAAAAGCATGACCTGCCACATCACATTACATCAAAACATGATGTAACTTCTTAATTTTAAAAAAAAGCTTTAATTTATGATGTTGTATCATGCCACAAAACCCTTTTGTTTTCCCCAGAGAAACTATAAATTTTTTACAGGGGCTGTTTATCCAGTATCTTTGGCAGACTGAAACAGTGAGCGTTGGCAAAAAGCAGATATTTAACAGCTACTGACGAACAGCTTATGAATCACCAGGCTTGAATCCTGGCACACATCTCCCTGCAGGAACCTTACTGAAATCACCCATCTTCCCTTCACCTCCTTCTAACTGCAGTAACATTGAGTAACTGACTGATCCTGAACCACTAAACTTGATCTACTTTATCCTTTCCAGCCTGTATATTTTTGGAGGAAAGCACTCTTGCTGTAAAAGTGCCACTGCAGAAACATTCCAGGAGCAGTGTCCAATATGGATTTCCCACTGATTTTGAACAGCCAAGGAAAATACTTTTCATTACAACAGTGTTTGGCATTTGTATGTTTTTCATCTATGGATATAAAAGGGCTTTGAAAAATAGCTTTACCTATACAGTTTTATCAATGGGGCAACTGAGGCATGAGCAATAGAAGATGTCATCAGTAGAGCCAAGAATAAGCTGGTCTATGGCTGCTCTGCTGGTCCATGTATCTTCCAAATGATGAATTCACAGTATTTGGCTTACTGTTTTACATGTTTCTACAAGGCAAGCTGGACTACCCCAGGACATGAAAGGCTTGTTGGTCTGGGTCTCTCTCAGTCTGCTTACTTGCCTGGTGCTTTCTGGGGGACTGCTGTGGCTGAAGCAAAGGAAGCTCAATGGAACTTGAGAGCAAGGACTACTTGTCCAAACAAGGGTTTTCAAGCTCTTGGTTTCTAAACAATTGCTTTATAGGGTGGACTCTGTACCATAAATCTGTAGCCTAGGAGTATGGTCATTATTGGCTTAACTGTCTTACTAAGACTGGACTTATTTCTCACATAACTGATAAAAGTCATAATGCTGTCAGTCCCTGGTATACTAGCTGTACTCAACTTTTACTGCTTCCTAGTTCCATGATCCATAGTGCACATATGGGGTATAAAGCCTTCCTAAAATCATAGCCCCTTAACTAAAAGCTTTTTCTGGGAGACAGTGTGGTTTGAATTATACTGAGGACCCCAAACAGCAATTACTCTTGGGCTACTGCCTTTGAAATAGATCTATTTTAGGTGAATATTCCTCTTTCAGAGGGGTACTTCTAACCCTATTTATGAGCCTTACTGCTCGTACCGAATAACCTAAGGGGGGAGTGAAAGCTCCCTGAGTACTCTTGACGTAAACACACAACGATGATCTTCATGACATGCAATGGGTGAAAAGGGGACAGGGTTTTTTCACCATTGTATAGCTGTCGCTTTGGGTGCCCTAGTGAGTACTGAAACTCAAGGCTATGACCCATTTTTCACAAAATCCTAGGGAGTGTCTATCCTATCTCCCTGTTAACTAGGGGAAAGTTCTAACTTCGAACCCTGTCCATGGGTCAGGAAACCATTCTTGACATCATTTCTAGTATAGAGTACCTTCTCCATTAGTGCTTTTTCTTCCAGTGAGAGTTTGGCATATTAACCTGGATGGGTTTTAGGCGAGATCAAATCTTCAGTATGGTTCCGTAAGAGGTGTGCAAGCAACTGCACTTGGAAAACTGTCAGAGTTCTGAGTCTGAAATGAGCTGGGGGCTGCTTAAAATACAGTTGTCAACCCACACCTAAAATGTGCTTGCCACACTGCAGCCTAAGAAAGGACACTTGGCCAGCGAGAGGAGAGAGAAGAGGTCTCAGGTGAAAACACTGGATGAAGCTGAGCAAAAGAACTCCAAACTGTTTTGCAAATATGTAAGGAATTATCTTGCATAAATCTCCTCTTGATTTGACATAGGAGGTTTCAAGATTTATGGCATCTTACATTATTGTTTAAATTTGTTTCAAGGAAGAAATGTACTTTTTAAGGTCAGGAATACAGATTTGTTAGATGCTAAGACACCTGAAAAGCAAGAATACATATTGTAGGATGAATATTTTACAGAGTAATTATTTAAATATATTCAAGTATGAACATCTTTAGATCCTAAATTTAGTATTCCTTAAACACATAATCTTACAATAAAATCTAGCTCACTCTTACATTGTTCATAACATTCCAATTTTCTGTTTGAACTAGTTGTTTTGAAAAGTTGTGTCTTGGCTGTTTATTTAAAGTGCCCCACCGATATTTTTGCCCCAGACTTCAATTTTTGGCATAACACTTGCACATATGTTGATGATGATATTACGTCTGAAGTTCTCAAAACATGATAGCATACTACGGCTGGTGTGTGAACTACTCAGATGTGATGTACAGAGGCAGCTCCCTGTTTCTTACATAGAGCCCTTGCCTGAGCTGTGGGTTAACTGCCTGCCTGTGGCACATAGCAGCAGCAAGGCAACTGCAAGATCCTTCTGCAGCTCTACTCAGGAGCAGTGTGTGTGTTGAGCATTCAGGGACCAGGAGAAACATGGTCCATGAATAGATCTGACTTGAAAGAGATGGCAACAAGTCAAGTAGTTGCGTTTAGTAGTTAAGACGAAAGTAGTTGAGAGATCTGGGGATGCTGCTGGAAGGGTGAAGTTTGTATTAAAACACAGTAAAGATGAGAATGGAAGGGATAGGCACCTGCCTTGGAAATGTGCCTTGGAAATGAATAAAGAATTAGCTAGCAGTCGCTGTTGCAAACACCTGAGCAAATTGAATTTGGAGAGCTTCATTGTTGTAACAGAGATAAGAAATACATTGGCTCCTCTGAATTACTGTATTGTAAGTCACATTTTCAGTTCGGTTCTCTAAATCCTCATGCCAAGGTGAACTCAGATTTTAGGGTTCAACTATTTTGCTTAGGCACTGTAAACAACTGGATCTCAGAGTTTCATGTCTGATTATACCTCTTGTACCTCAGAGCTTTATTTCTCATTAAACGGACAAAACAGGCACCTGCAGAAATGTGAGCCTGCCTGCATCTGGCTGAAAACAACACGGCTCAAATTTAACCACACCTGCCCTATTTAAATGGTTATTACACTGAAATAGAGTTATTATGTTATGTAAAGGTGTCATAGAATGACACAGAGATCTCTTATTATTCATGGTATCACCAAGCCTAATAAACAGCTTCAATCTGAAGTTTAAGTAGGGGCACCTTATGAACAGGTACTGGCCATTATATAATTGTAGATAAGTTTCCCTGGCCACCTGTCTTCCTGCATGGTCTTTGCTGTGTCCTGATTGAACCTTGGCTTGCTTGATTGTATCCAAGATTCTTGCTCTGGCTCTTCTGCTCTGCTAACCCAGCAGGATTAAGTACAATGAAGGTAAGAACTGAACTTCTGTATGCACCATACATGCTTCTTACTGTATATTACAGCCAGTTGGACACAAGGAAATGCAGTATAAAGCTTTAGTCTGACACTGTCTTGGAAGAACTTTATAAAATACTTCCTGAGCCTTTCTAGGTTTAAAATACACCATCATGAAATCATAGGAATAGAGACAGCAAAGAACAGGAGAGTCTAAAGAATAGGTATGTTCAAATACCCCTGCGTTTCAGCTCATCCAGACACAAGATGCAGAAGCTTGTAACTCATTAGAACAGTGCTGAACACACAAATAACCACATGTGCAGCTAGGGCTGCCTTAAATATTTGGACACAGAGCTACTACTGCAGTCCAGTCATCACAGGATTGAAAATATTCACATGTGGACCCTGCTACTTTTACCTCTCACCCTCCTGGCTGTGGGTGTCTGTGCTGGGTGTTTTTTATGGTGCCACCCACTGATGGTAAAGCTAGAAGAACCTGACCACAAAACTCAATACATTCTGCTTTGTTTCTGGAGGCTTCAAAACTAGATGTATGGACGAGACAAGGAGAAAGGACTACGAACTGTTAGAAACAGCAGTTGTGTGGGACTCATTATTCACTGTTTTCCTAAGTGGGACTCATTATTCACTGTTTTCCTAAGTGATATATGAGATTTATAAGGTGTTAAAGGGAATTTAATCTCCTTACATGCCCTCGCTGCATCACTTTCAGGTACAGTGTGCAAAGATGATGAAGATGGTGCAAGAGATCTCCAAAACTTTCGTACCCTCATACCTTTCTTCCCAGTAACCCTACCTAATTTGTGAATATCCAGCAGGCTTATATCCTTCACAGCAGGCATTATACATGTATTGTTATATTTGTCATTGTTAAATATAATGTTGGAGCCAGAGAATGATCACATACCTTGTATTTGGACTTAGGTCTAGCTTCAGTATCCCCAGTTTTCTGGCAGGAGTCACAGAAGCAATTCTAGTCTTAGCCCTGCAGGGTGTTAAACTAAACGTTTCCATTCAGACTCTTGACTTATTTTTCCAGTTTGTTCCCTATTATCATACCTTCTATAAATCCAAACTGAAGCTTCCCTAACAAAAAGGCCCTTTCTCATCACGACTAAAAGCAGAATACTTTAAGTAATTTAGAATACAAATGTGCAATGAAATATCAGCCTGGGTGATGCTATGAGAAGGAAGAGTGTACAGTATGCTTTATGTGTTTTTAGCTGTTCTACCCTACACTGCAACATGTGCACCCACTCTTGTAACCTCTACTGCTGTGCAAAGATGATCTGTCATTTCTACAAAATAGATATATATTTATACTGAGGCAGCTTCGAATCCTTACTGCCCTCTAGAGAAATTCTGCTAGAAAAGCTCAAACTGACACAGTCAGCAAAAAATAATTGCAGTCCTAATCTTAACTACACCAGCTGCGTGCAGTCTCAGTGACAAAATCTGTAGGAACAGAAATGCACTTAAAGGACCCTTTTTCTCCATCATTGGGAGTTCTGGCCAGACTCAAACACACTTATCCCATTCAATGCACGGGAAAGCTCAGCAAAAACAGTTTCCATTATCCATGGGTTTAAATGAAAAAAAGAAACGAAAAAATTCTTTTTAAAGAAATTGCAAGTTATATTGACATCACCATTTAACCTACACACCTGTAACTACGCGCTTTGTCATTCTCACAGTTCTATCTCCGTGCAAGCCTGAGGATCGTGGATGAAAGGAGCTGTGACTGAGTGCAAAGGCCTGGAATGGAGCTGCAAGCCTGCACAGAAACCGAGCTATTCCTCTGGAAAAGCTGAACTTCCACATGTGCAGGTGAGCTCTTGGAGGTCTCAGTGACCACCTGCACAATTAACTGCTGCATCTACAAGAGTATTTTTTGACAAGATGGGTTTGTGTAATTCTTAAAATCAAAGCATCAGAAGGCATGGCAAAAAGTCTGATTTACAATACCACGGGAGTATTTCGTGTGGTTGGGCCAACACGGAGGAAACAGCAATTGCAATGTTAGCAGTGAATGATAGCACAGTGCAGCTAAGAATACATTCAGCAAGCTGAGATCCTCTTTTAACACTGACAAAAAAGAGAAAAAATATAAAATGTGTGTCTGTGTGTGTACATTTTTTTTTCAAAACAGCTGAATCCAACTATCCTGCAGAAACTTATTCATTTAACAGGCTGTCAGTGCAAGTTCCTTTACATAGCTCTGCCTTTTCATGCCTAATGGGGTTTGCCCTGAACCAGACAAAGCCTATTAAACATGGCAGAGAAACAGATGATATGAGAGGCTACTGGAAGCAGTGTTGGCTGCCCTCTAATGGCATGTGTTCCATAAGCACACACCTGAGCTCCCCAGGGACTCTGTGAGGATGCCAGCAGATGCGTTGTCCCAGAGTGCCTGGTATTCCCTGCAAGAGGAATGTTCATACCCTGAGCAAAAATGGAAATCTGGTACTGTATATTCAGTTTTTCAGACTGTGACAGCAAGATAGAGGTGGCAAGAGCACTCCAAAAGCACTGTCAGAGCAAAGGGGAAGATGTACATTTGATGAAGGCACCGGACTGAAGGGCTGGCTTACTTAGGAACGAAAATGTGTTCAGTGTGTGAGTACCAAGCGCTGTGCCTTGCAGCTATCTGTCAGCTGAAAACTATAAATACTGAATACTGTCAGCATTTTATTTCCTTTGATTCTAGCGGGGAAATTCAAAAGGTTTATGGGTTCAGACTGAGTTAAAACTCCTGATCTGAATGTGTGCTGAGTCAGAATTTTGCCTGATTTGAGTGCATGCAAATATCAAAGCGTGTAGGAATGAGCTGGTCACTACCTGCAAGTCTACTAAACAATCATGAAACTGAATCTGTAAATATAGAAGAAAATAATCCCCTAAGCCTGGGAGTGCAAAGTTGGAATTGTCACACAGAGAAAAGATAGAAACTATTATTATTGTTGTTTTAATAGTAGTAAGGGATTCAGTGCACCCCTTTCTACTGCCAGATTCTTCAATCTTCTAAATAAATAAGGGCTGAAAAGGAAATTTCAGGGTTCAGTAATGAATTAGTCTGCCCAGTCTCTAAGCAGTTCAGAAACAGAACTGAATCCAGGTTCTTCAAACTGAATCCAGGTCTTTTGAATCTTAGACTCTTCCCTCACCCCCTGAACTTTTGATGTCCTTTCATGTTCTCTGTTACTTACAACACTTTGCTCCCCATGTTCTTTAAAATCTCCACTTGAATCAGATTTTCTAGGAAAAAAAAAAATATTCAAACTTTCCTGAAACTTTGAAAAGTTTCTGCTCAGTTTGAGGCAAAGTTTCAGTCATATTTACTTGATCTGAACCATATCTTATTCCATACATTTATTTATTGTCATTTCTATTGATTCTTTCTCCTCTCCTCCATTGATTAACCTGGAGCTCTGCAAAGGAGGAACCAAGGCTTTGAGCTAACAGACAATTGTATTTTAGACTTTTTGATTTATTTTTCCAATGTGTTTATTCTGAAGCGAAGATTTCTTTGCTTCGTAAATAGTGACCATCATTCTGTTTATGTTATCACTGATTAAAAATGGTTTCTAAAGATCCCACGTTTTCCCCAAGGAACTGATGATCTGCAGGTAAGTATTGATATAGACATCAAATAAATGCTAGTTCAGAAAGCAAAATTACTGCTCCAAAAGTGTGTCCTGCTTGGATCCATTTAGTAATCTCAGATTTAAGACGATATTCTCCAGGGTAACACTCACCTGTGCATCCATGAGTTTCTGTAGTGCCCATGGGAATGGACCAGTGATATCTGGCTCCCCTGAAGAAGGAAGTCCATGCCTGGGGGAGGCAGAGGACACAATACCTCTTGTGTCTTCATCACTGGAATGGCAGAAATGTGTTCTCAAACATTGATATTTTTTTTCCCATTTATTCACATTTATTCATCTGCATGTTGGCCAGTACAAGGTTGGAAAAGGGAATTGTCACAGCTGGTGGTTGCTGTTGAAATAAATGTGATGAGGGAGTATTGCCTCCCTCCCTCCTATCTGACCAGCGCATGCTCATGGACAGAGTGTTATTTGCAACTAACTTAGCACCATGGTCTCCTGGATCCATTAGCACACCTCTTAGGCTGCCAAGAGGGGAATAACAGCACCAGATTTCTGCTTGACCTGGCAATTAAAATCAGAAACCAATCCTTTACTTTTCTGAACCTGAGGCGTTAGCTGTTTGACAGCATCCCCTTTCATCTTGCAGAGTCCAGAGAGGGCATCAAGCTTTATGAAGAAGCAAAATGAGGGAATGGGCAATAGTTGCCAGTTCTCACCAGAACAGGTACAGAGAATACAAAGGTTGGATTCTTCCTGTGCTGGAGGAAATACCCCAGATATTCTATTTCTAGTTATTTTTTTTTCACTCTATTTGCTCACATGTGGAAGAACACACAATGAATAAATTTTAACAAGCAACCAACATCATGGAGGTATTTGAACTTGCATCTTCGCTGCTTACATAGCATTGGTCCTGAAGTTTATTTTGCTTTTGGCTAGAAAATCTCCTTGAAACTCAAAAGATCTTCCTGACAAACATTTATTCAAAACTGACACCCTCCCACACAATAAATTGATATATATAATCAGTAATTTCCTGTGAAAACCTGTTCAGGTAAAAAAATACATGTATAACTCTATTAATTGACCTAATCCTGCACTGCTAGTGATAACTAAGCACATGTTAGATAAGGCCTGCTCAGCTCATTAAGACGACAAACTACACACAGAGGAGCTTTGGTTTGTGACCATTATACATCTGAGCAATCCATTCTCTACTACCCCACCCCATCAATAGTCAACTGTTTGGCTTCTGTGTTTGTTTTCAGATTCTTTATCACCTTTTCATTATTCATTTTTTCCATCTTCTCCAAAAACCTTTTTGTCCCAGTTAATAAGGGAAATGGGGAAACGGCGATCTGGCAACTTGCTGGCAAGTCAGGTAACTTTTCTGCAGCGGTTCTCACTGATCCCCAAACAGCAGGTGCTCTTCCATTGGTTCCTCAGCATAACTGAATTTATGATGAATCTTATCCCTGGCCCGTTTCAAATACATGTTTGCATTTATGTCAGATATGGACTAAATTGGGTACTTTGGGGTGGAGTCCAACACTGGCAAATTTTCTTTATGACAGTTGTCACTTGCATTCCTCAGACCAGCTTAATGCTGTATGAATTCTTGCACAAAAATGTAGCATGCTGATAATATCCATTCCCTTTCTTCTGTATCTTTTTCTTTCTCCATCATTATAATTCTGTCTTCTAGCTTTTTCCTCTGCTGAGCTTTCAGAGACCTTCCTAATCAACATCAGACACAGTGGGAAAATGGGTGGCACAAGCGTGGGTAAAAGCCTGTACTGTAATTTGAGGGGTTTTGCAATCATCTTCACAAGTGACGGCACAACCCAAGCAGCAAATACAGCTCATTCACTCTGGAGGAAAAGCTACTTGATTTTAGATATAAATGTATTTATATTTATGTGCATATGCTTGTACGCGTCAAATATTAATTTCTTTTATTCTAATTTTCTCTCATTTGCATCTGCCCCTGTGCCTCATCATTTTGGGCCCAGTTGGCTTTGCACAAGCACTGCCTTTCAAGCGGCACCTAGCAACATCATCCCAGGGAAGAAACCGTGTGTCCAAAAGGCTCAGTTCTCATTCTGCTTCTCTCTGTCACAGAACAACTGGACTGGGCTGGTGGGACTCTGTCAGTCCACATGCTGGCCAGTCAGTGCTGTAAAGTACTTGGGTATAGGTTTCCATTCACAGCCTCTGATGCAGATGGTACCCTGCGCCCCAGAGCCTGCCAGGCTAAACTATCTGTCCATGGGTGTTGAAGCCCATCCAGGCATGCACAGGGACATGTCTTACAAGAACCTAATGCAGCAAACCTGGGAGCACACCTTGATCCAAGAGCGTGATCTCAGAGGTGCTGGCCAAGCAAAGACATAAGATGTGACACAAACCACCTCAGATTATTAGCCCCTATAATTAGTAATTCTTATAGCAAATATCCTTATTCCTTTTGATCTCTGTATGAGGTCCTTTATGTCCTTAACAGGGGGAAAAATCACCTTGCCTCCCTCAATGCTATCCTGGAGGTCACCAGGTTAATTCCATGCTAGATGCATGGATAAAAAGGAGGATAAGAAGAAAGAGTAGGTCATTCAGTGGCAAAGGTTGAGAAGATCTGCTTTAAACACTTTATGGGAAATTGTAAAATTCCTAAACAATTTAATAGATTAACTTCCCCTTTCAGTGGCATCAGTAAAACTGAATTATCATCCTCACTTTTAACTGATGCCTAGACCCAATACTCATCCATCAGGGATCATTTAGTGATAAAGCGATCAATCCTGCTATGGAGCAGAGGGGACAAACTATGTGAGATACCATCACCAAATATCCTTTCCACCCCAAAGCATTCTGTGAGTCTTTGTCAATGAAAGTGCATTTGTCTGGTCTTATCTGCTGCAGTATACGTGGAATACAAAGGAAGAAAGTAAAATATGCATTTGATGTACATGTGCAGATGCCAGACATATTATCAATCCAAGGACTGCCTTTTTTCCAGGAACTGAACACAGCACCTGATAACCAACCACTGCACCACTACCTCAGGTACCAAATTAATAGATGGGAAAGCAGACACGAAGCTGTCTTAAAATAATGCTGTGATATGTGGAGGATTTGAGAGAACAGTGAGAAAAAACAAGTTTCTCCCTTTTCTGACTCCTCACCAGTAAGCGTTTTGGTTTTGATGTTTAGCTTTCTAATATATTAAAGATTTATACATTGAGAAGATTACAGATCAGAAATAATTTAAATTTTACAAAACTTTTTGTAATTAGTTTAATCAGCATTTGGATTTTATTTAGGTGTGTACAATGGGTACTGGCATTTCAAGAAATAACCTTAAATTTATTTCTTAATCAAAATATCCCCACTTTAGGTAAGAAATTGTCCATTTCCACTACAAAACAGGTAGATTTTTAGCAACAGAAAGTCATGTTTGAATTAAACATTTAATAACTTATTTGCTCAAACAGAGATAAATGTTTGATTTTCCTATGAACTTTAATA